GTGTTTTTCTACTGGGCTGTGGCTCCCCCTATATGGGAATATCATTTTCAGGTACAGGTAGCATGCCACCTCCAAGGACATAGCTTGGGAGGCTAGAGGCGGACACACTTTTGTTGTTTTACTTTTCGATGTATTACATGTAAATTCAAGCCAAGGGCTTAATGTGTTTGAGTTAGTACTCTTTTGATGTAACCAAGTGTTAACTTGGAAAGCTGTAAGCCCGTAGGGCATTTTGCTTTTGCTGTTAACATGTAATACTTATGTATTGGAATTCTGATAAATGAAAGAATGTGGTTATTTCATATGTAATGAATCTTATTTAATGGGTTTAATGTTATTATTTTGAGGGCGTTACAACTTGGTATCAGAGCGTACCGGGTTCGAATACTTTGGGTACGTGGGAAGTGATTAGGATCACAATGGGTTTGTCTCGCTTGATAGAGATAGAGACTTAAATGTAGTGATTATATGCTACATGCTTAATTGATAACATGCTTATGTGTTTATTTGGGTATGGGATTTAGTTTCTAGGATGTTGATTGGATCCTTGGGTTTCTAGGAGTCTTGTTGGAAAAGCACTTGATCAATGCTGTTTCTAACCGGAACTCTAGTAACGCCTCGGGACTATCATTATCCGGAAATAAAATTCGTAAGTGCTTATGTGTTTATGTGCTTATGTGGAGTGAATTACAGTTGTCCATGCATTAGGACGGGAGTGTTTAGTTTCGGCACATTTATGAATGTGCTAATGTTTTGTGTTACCTTTATTAGGATGTCAGGGCGAGGAAGAGGTGCTAGGCGTGGTAGACCTGCGAGGCAGGAAGTACCGTTACCGGAGGAGGTTCCGGCAGTACAGGAGGGAGTTGGCCAGGCCAATGTGGCCGAGCCAGTGGGTCAGCAGGCCATGGGTGCCTTGGCCAGAGAGATAGCAGGAGCCTTGGGTATTCTTAGAGCTGGGAATCAGGCAGCTGAGGCAGGGCCTTCTTTCTTGAAGAGGGAGTTTTTCCGTTCAAATCCGGATGAGTTTATCGGGGATCCGAAGGAGCCACTGAAGGCTGATGAGTGGCTAGAGCAAATGAGTAAGACGTTCGAGATGCTTGGCATCGAGGACGGAGCACTGAAAGTGACCTTGGCATCCTTCCAGCGGAAGGGAGATGCGGGTCAATGGTGAAAGTACGAGAAGGCTCGTGTTGGTGGTACTTGGGAGGCATTTGTGAATGCTTTTCAGGAGAGGTTTTTGTCTGCAGCAACTAGGGAGAAGCTGAGGGACCAGGTCAGCCGGCTTAAATAGCAGGGCTTGTCAGTGGCCGAGTTTGAGGCTACTTTTACCAGTTTGTCCAGGTTTGCATCTGAACTAGTGGCGTCTGAGGAACGCCGTTGCCATGAGTTTGAGCGGAAGTTGAGGCGGGGCCTCAAGTTGAGAGTTGGTGGGTCGTATATCCGAGAGTATAGACACCTGGTAGATGCTGCTGCTCATATGGAGATTATGATGCAGGAAGAGGAGGAAGAACAGAGGGGCTCCAAGAGGAGCCAGGATGGCCAAGGTGATGGCAGGAGGCAGAGGGGTTATAACCCTCAACAGTCTCAAGGAGCAGTTTCTAGATCGACCTTTCCAGTGCCGAGTGCAGGCTCGGGGAGAGGCAATCAGGGGGAGTTTACTTGTTACAAGTGTGGCCAGCTGGGTCACAAGGTTTCAGTTTGCCGCAGAAGGGTGGGGGTCAGAGAGCTGCTTCTTCTTCAGCTAGACCGCAGAGTCAGAGTTTGGGCAGGGGGCAGCCCTTGTCTTGTTATCAGTGTGGACAGCCTGGGCACCTGAAGAGGTTTTGCCCGCAGTTGAGTGCCACTTCGGGAGCGTCTGGTTCTAGGCAGACGCAGGGTTTTCAGCCAGCTCAGTCTGTGCAGGCCTCGAGGGCCAACCCGGGAGCTTCGTCATCCCAGTCAGTGCAGCAGTCTTTTGCTCCGAGAGGTGAGCAAGTAGACCAGGGGCCTACGGGGCGCGTGTATGCTGTTACCGCGCAGGATTTAGTACCGGCTCCATCGGTAGTGAGAGGTACTTTTCTGTTTTGCAACTCGATAATCATTTTGGTATGTACACACTGTTTGTGGATAACCTGCCACTAGATTGAGGAGGTTGGATTCGCATTGTGAAGCGAAGAGGGGGGCAAGGATCAAAAAGAGTAGATAATCATTTTGGTATGTACACACTGTTTGTGGATAACCTGCCACTAGATTGAGGAGGTTGGATTCGCATTGTGAAGCGAAGAGGGGGGCAAGGATCAAAAAGAGTAGATAATCATTTTGGTATGTACACACTGTTTGTGGATAACCTGCCACAAAGTATGGATCCTAAGGGCTTGTTCACCCTGTTTAAGAAGTTTGGAGTGGTGAATGATGTATTCATTCCACACAAGAGAAGAAGAATAATTGCCTCCAGATTTGGTTTTGTGAGATTTAGTTGTCAAGTAGCAGCAAATGTCACAGTGCAAAAAGCTAATGGTTTGTTGGTGAATAACAAGATACTAGTGGTAAAAAGTGCTGACTTTGGTAGGGAGAGGTAAGAGAAAGGCTATACGTAGCCCCAGGTAAGGAGATAAGGAGTACAAAATCCACAATCGCATGACTCAAGTAAAGGAATGAATCAGCATATGGGTCAGAGATGGTATGCGCAAGTAGTAAAAAGGTGGAATACTAATGAAATGGGGACTGTTACAGTAAAGGCTGAGGAAATAGGCAATGGATGGCTATATGAGAGTTTGATTCTACGTTTGAAGGCGATGTATGCAACTATAAACATGAAGATGGAGCTTGAAGCTAGAGGACTGAAGGATGTTGTGGTGAGGAAGGGTGGAGTACGGGACCTGATATTGTCTTTCAATTCAAATGAGGAGATAAAATTAAAAATGAAAGGTGTAAAGGAGATGTTTGGGGACTGGTTACTATCCTTCAAGTGAAAAGAGGAGATGAAATTAAGAATGAAGGATGTGAATGAGATGTTTGGGGACTGGTGTGATGAGATAATTCCAGGGGAAGCAGGGAAAGTGCTGGAACAAGAACGGTGTGTGTGGATAAGTTGCTATGGAATCCCTTTAAACTTGTGGAATAGAACCAACCTACATAGGATTGGGAATTTATGGAGAGAGATTATCTGCATTGAAGAAGAGTTAAGCCAGGCACAATTGTTCAACAGTGGAAAGATGAAGATCTCTACTAAATGCATGGAGCCAATAAATAAGATGATAAATATTGAGTGTAAAGGAGTGCTCTACCCAGTTTGAGTTTGTGAAGAACAGAGAGTAGTTGTGCAAACAATTAAAGAGACCTGTGTCTATAAGAAGCATATGTACTTGGATGATGTTTACAGTGCAAATGAACAGGTAGGTAAGTCTATAGAGGAAAGAAGCAGAGAAGGCGAAGATGATGATGACTGGGTAGCTGAGTCAGCTAAGGTGGTTGAAAGAAATGATAGAATGGCAACAGGGGACATGACAAATGGACCACTAAACAGAATTGAGGTGGAACAAGATGTGCACGAGAGGAGTGAAACAGTAGTTGCAACGTCTAGTGGAATAGTGGGACAGGAGCTCGAAACAACAGTGGGTGAGCCGAATTACGGCTGTGCAAAACAGTGTCAGAATGGTAATGACCAGGTGTGCACGCCTGGTTTTATGAAAAGCTTAAGTGGGTCTACTTTGCTTCAGCCTGGGGTGAATCTAGAAGTGCAGCTGGATTTGAATCAGGGGCCTAATGCTTTGGGTGGGCCTCATTCTTCACAGAATGGGCTTAGTGAGCTAAGTGGTTAAAAGTCCAAACAAATAATAGCAAGAGTGATGCAAATATAAGGCTGAAATGGAAGAAGATATGGAGTAAAAAGACCCACTGTCGGCAACAACCTCAGAGAAAGGGTTTTTTTTTTTTTATCTTGTGAGGAGATATGCACATAAGGGTGATTCAACAAGTAAACCAACTCCAAACTTTGCCCTGCTGAGAGTAGTAGCTGTAGAAGCCTCACTATTGACATCTATTGAGAATGGGAATGATGGAGAAACAAGAATCCTTAATGAAGCTGAAGTAACAGTACGGTTGGGCAAAATATTGGGTTTGGTGTATAACGGAACAGAAGAGGAAGTTATTAGCAAAATAGTGGAATTGGAAAAGAAAGATAAGGAGAAGCTTGGGGGGGAGGGAAATAGGGCAACTGCATAGGGTGTTTATGGAGGTGGGATTTCATTAGAGCCTTATAATGTTTCCTTATGAAGATACTGATTTGGAATATTAGAAGAATTGGAAGGCAAGAGAAGAGGGGAAAGATACGGAAGTTGGTGAAAGATAAAAATGTTGATATAGTGTTGATTCAAGAAACAAAAAATGTTGCTATTACAGACAGAGAAGTCAGAGAAATATGGGTGAGGACTAGAATGGAGTTCATGTCAGTGGATTCTAAAGGTACAGCTGGAGGATTGTTATGCATATGAGACCCGAGGTATTTCAACTTGGCGCTTGCTGCATTAATAAAAGGTTCATACTCTTATCAGGTACAATATTTAACTCTTATGAGTGTGTTTTACTGAATATCTATGCACCGAATGATGTGGGTGAAAGAAGAAAGCTTTGGGATAGTTTGCTTAATCTGAAACAAGGGCTTCCTAAACCATGGTGTTTGTGTGGGGATTTTAATGAAATTAGACATATTGGTAAGAGGAAAAGCTACTTCAGAAGAGAGAGGGGTATGACTAAGCTCAATGAGTTCATTGAGAATAGTGAAGTACAAGACCTACCTTTATTAAGAAGAAAGTTCACATGGTGTAATTCCAGGGAAGGTGAGAAATGGAGTAGGATAGATAAGGTGTTGGTGGACCCAAGATGGTTGGAGGGTTTTCAACTAAAATTATGGGGATTACCTGCTTATTTCAGATCACAGTCCACTACTCTTGATGGAAGATGAAAGGAATTGGGGACCAAAGCCGTTCCGGTTTCTAAATGCTTTGTGTCTACATCCAAATTTCTTCTCCTTTGTGGTTAAAGTTTGGAAGGAGTAAGAGACTAATGGTTGGGCTGGATTCATATTACAGAAGAAATTGAAGGATTTGAAACTAGCACTTCAGCAATGGAATAAGGAGGTGTATGGGTCTGTGCCTAACAAATTGAAAGCAGTAGAGAAGGAAGTTCATAACCTTGACCTGCAAGCAGAGAATAGAGAGCAGGACCAGTATGAGAAAGCTAGAAGAAGAGCAGCTAGTGAAGAGGTATGGAGACTTCATAGAATGATGGAATGGACGTCGTTACAAAAATCAAGACTGAATTGGAATTTGAAAGGGGATCGAAATACTAGGTTTTTCCATGTGGTGGCCAAGGGTAAACATTGTAGAAATGAAATAATATCCATTGCCTTTGGTAGTTCAGTGCTTAAGGAACCTAGTCAAGTGAAGTCTGCAGTGTTCGAGCACTTCAAGAAGCAGTATTTTGAGGAGTGGGTGTCAAGACCTAAGTTAGGAGGCATATTCAAATCAATGAGTAGCAGTCCATATTTTAATGTGTTAGAAACTGAGTTCTCAAAGTCAGAAATTCTGGCAGCAGTGAAGGATTGTGAAGGAAACAAGGCACTTGGCCCAGATGGTTTCAACATGTTATACTTCTAAAAATTCTGGAAGGTGATAAAAGGGAAAGTTCTCAATTTTATGAAGGAATTCTATAGGAATGGCAAATTAGTGAAGGGTTTGAATAGCTCCTTTATTACTCTTGTCCCTAAAAAGGAAAACCCTGTGGGCTTAACAGACTATATTCCAATAAGCTTAGTAGGATCAGTATACAAGGTCCTATCTAAGGTCTTGTCAAGAAGACTCAAAGAAGTGCTACCCTACATCATTAGTGAGACCTAATCAGCCTTTATTGGAGGGAGGAACATACTAGATGGGGTTTTGTTTGCCAATGAAGTGGTGGATGGGTGGAAGAAATGTGACGCCCCAAAAAAATCGGGAACATCAGATAATATATTAACCATTAAATACAGGGTTTATCTAAGGTTACAAGAGTAGGAAACGTCACTAATGAGTCCTTTGGCTAATAACCAAGCAAAATCCCAAGAAGGTCGGAGGAGTCAAAATAACCTCTCTTCTAAGTCCAACCACCTTAGATAGCAAAGCTACCTTTTTGACAGATCTTGATAAGGTATTAACACAAGGCCCACATGAGTTGACGGAGTCTAAGGATAGGTTATAAATGCTATATATATATATATATATATTGTTAAAAGGTTACAAATGTTATATATATACAAATTACAAAAAATCATGTCGTAAATACAACATGGGATCTATCACATACAATCTCAAAGCACGTTTAACATAACTAGTTCCTAACTCCCATAGGATAGCTATACATCCTCAAATACTTCAGCTTTACCTTCGATCGGTGTAATGGTCTTCAATACGTGGAATGAAACGCCGTGAGCTTTAAATGCCCAGTAAACGCACACACACCCCGTCCTTTTTTCCCAATCCAATACACCATCATATTTATAGCAAGGAAGTAGTGAAGCATGATATTCAAGTCAATAATAGCAATTTCAATAATAGAGGAAAGGAACATGTCATTCAAATAGATAACAAAGGTTATAATGTTAGTGGTTAGTATTCTAGAAATCCCCCAAAGAGATTTCATCCTCCCAATCACAAGAATTGGACATCGGACTATTCGGAACTCCTCATTTTGTTGCTTTGTTGCAGAACTAACCTCGGATGCCTACCAACGGTTATATACCGTGTAGCGCCAACCGCAGGGCCTCAAAAGGGACAGTGAAAAGAAAAAGGTTTTATCTCCTGAATCTAACCTTATCTGTCCAAAAAAAAGTTTTATCCTCCTGAATGTCCCATCCGGACCCAACCTTAGCTCACCAATCAAACCATCGCAAAGAGTCCGAATACGTTCGTTCCATTCTAGGGTTTATGCGACAACCGTTTGCGCAAGACTTAACCTTCTATTAGGGAGCACATCCCATCAATCCATACATAACACATTATCATCTCTTCAATATTCAAGTGATCGAAAACCCAATACCATCCCAATTAAGTTTTCCGTTTGGATCAATGTTTTAAGTCAAGTTAGAACAAACTCAACAGGATAGTAATATCCACATAAGCATGAGCATCATTAAAATGAAGAAGATAAGGAACATAACCATAACATATGCAATATCATACCAAGACATGATCATAAACTATTAAGCATATTCATGAACACAAGAGCATAAAGGCACCCATGCAAAACTAAATTTCCAGATTCAGTACTATTAAAAGATTAAAATCAAAAGGGCTATTTCAAATCTTTCCCGAACCTAGCCTTTCTATGGTTCATATAGAATTTAATCTAGTTTTCAGAATATGTTTCGGAAATGGAATAGATTTTCTAGATTTTTAGTTATTTAAGAAACACTCCAGTACTGTCTAGATTCATCGACCATTACGAAAATTGAATTTTCTTTCAAACCGCTCACTGTTTTTAAATGAAACCAATTTTCCTTGAAAGCTAACTCTTTAAGGAAGATGTTGACATAAAACTGAGGTCCAGAAGATTTTTAAACATTTTTATAGAATTTTTGAAAGTTGGCTGTAAAACAGATTTTTTTGGCACAGATCTTGAAACAAGAAAGTTGGTGAGAAAAGAGGTCAACTAGGGGAAATTTTTCACTTATCTTGTGATGAAAACTTGCTAAATAATACGTATTAAACTCAAAAATTTAAGGTGAAGGTGTGCCTTTGGAAATTTTGAGAGTTTTATATGGAAAAAGGTAGTCTTATACCGATTAAGAGAAATAGAAGAAGGGTAAAATCAAGGCTCAACTCTTTTCATTTTTAACATGAGAATACTATCAAAAAAACATCTGAAATGAATGTTTAAAACTTCTAAGAGTATGTATTTGAAAAAGAAAAATAAAAGAGAGAGTTGTGTTGTGGCTTACTTAAATGCTTATGGAACTAGTTTTGCAAGACTTGCTTTCTTTCTCTTCTTTCTCCCTCCCACAAGCTCATTCTACACTCCTCTCCCTCTCTCTATGACATGTGGGTGTGTGAGTGTGGTGTTTGATGTTCATATAGATGGAAGATGGTGGTGTATTTATAGGAAAAATTGTGTGAATTGTCTAAAATTTCCTTTGGTTGAAATGTAATGGAATTGAGTTGTATTTAGTTCAAATGAAATGGAATAGTGGATAATTAGGACCTTAATTATGTATTTAATTAAGATCTAGTTAAGCTTAAGCCTAATTTAATCCATTCTAGTTACAAGTACATTAGATATATACATGTATATATATAGAATTGGTACTAAGGTCATAATTATTTCCATGATTCAAGGGATTTGTCTCTAAAGTATAATGATTATAGCCTAGGAGGTATGATGGTTGGCCATGTGCTCAAGATTTGGGGAGATTTTGTTGATTTTATGTATATATATATATATATATATATATGTATGAAGATATTTGTGTATAAAATTATTTATTTAAGAAAGGTACAAATATATATATGTATATATGTGTGTAATGGTACAAGTTTGGGGTCAAAATGTGATTTAAGAAAAATATGAGGGCATTGGGTTTAATTTATGAATTGGAACATTTATTTTAGTGTAGAATTAAATTAAATTGGGGTTAGGGAGTCTAATTCGGTTTGGATTTCTTGTTTCGAACAAAAACGCGATCAACCGACGAATGTGATAAAGACCGGAAAAGCCTAGGATTTCCAAGTGGTAATTTCATATTTACGGAGTCAATTAGAGTATTAGAAATTATTTCTAAGTTTTTGAAATCGATTAGGGTTTACGATTTTTTGTTGGCGCATGTATTTTGATCCTAAGGTTGCAATTAAGAAACTGAAGAACTTCAAGGAAATAATTTAAAAGTAAGGGACTTTTAAGAAATTAAAATTTTTAGGGGCCTCACAAGAAATTCAAGAAGAAGGGTGTGATCATTAAACTTGATTTTGAGAAGGCGTATGATTCAGACAACTGGGGGTTTCTATATTCTATGCTCCTGAAGTTTGGGTTTGGGTTTGGGTTAAGATGGGTTAAATGGATTATGGAGTGCCTTAGTACGGCTAGAATTTCAGTACTTGTAAATGGGTCTCCAACTGAAGAGTTTAGACCTCAAAAGGGTCTTTGACAAGGTGACCCACTGTCCCCCTTTCTATTCAACTTGGTTGCTGAAGGTCTCAATATGATACTGACAAGAGCATACCAGATGGGAATTATTAAAGGTGTGCAAATTGGTGTAGATGATGTGATGCTGTCTCACCTGCAATTTGCAGATGATTCTATTCTTTTTTGTGAGGCTGAAGAAGAGGAGGTTAGAAGTTTGAAGAGGATCTTGAGGTGTTTTGAAGTGATGTCGAGCTTGAGGATTAATTATCATAAGAGTCAGGTCTATAGAGTGGGTGTTTCAGATGAATCTTTAGCTAGATTTGCATCTATTTTGAATTGCAAGATCAGGAAGCTGCCCAAACAATATTTAAGTCTACCCCTTGGGGCTAATCCTAATAGAAAGCAAAGTTGGAAACCAGTGTTGGACAAGATTTGTAGCAGGCTAGCTAGCTGGAAAAAGAATGCTTTTATCTTATGCTAGGAGGTTAACTTTAATCAAATCAGTAACTGTATTGTTGTCGGTATATTATCTATCCTTGTTTAGATTACCTCAAAGGGTAGCTAAAGTGATTGATAGGCTACAGGTTTCATTCCTTTGGGGGGGTCTGAGGTAAGGAGAAGGACACACTTGGTCAAATGGGCTGATTTGTCAACAAGTGTGGATCAAGGGGGACTGGGGCTGAGAAGAGTAAAAGTGATGAATGACTGTCTACTAATCAAATGGTGGTGCAGGTTTGGGTATGAAAAAGATGCACTGTGGAGGAAGGTTATTCGTAGCAAGTATAAGGTGGACTTTAGGGATTGGGTGCCCACTTCCTGCACAAGGCCTAGTCTCTAGTGTATGGAAAGGTATAATCAATATTGCTATGTCTAATAGCCCACTCATATAGTTTTACCTAAATAATTGGCAGTTAAAGGTTGGGAATGGGAGCAGAGTAAGGTTTTGGTTGGATAAATGGTGTCATGCCACCTGTTTCAGAGATAAATACCCTAGCTTATTCTCTTTAGCCTTGGAAAATGAGGTTTCACTAAGAACAATGTATGAGATGAAGGGAAATGTAGAGGACTGTGTATTTAACTTTAGAAGAAGGCTCTATGGTTGGGAAGATTGTGAGGTCACAAAGCTTAAAAATTTCCTGGGTGCTGCACCTGCTTTGGAGGTTAACCAGGTTGATAGACCAATGTGGTTAGCAGGAGCAACAGAGGTATTCTTAGTGTCATCTATGTATAATGGGGTTTCTGCTACTGCAAGTCCTCAATTGAGTATTTGTAAACTAGTGTGGGTTAAATACTTGCCTTCTAAAATCCAAATTCTAGGGTGGCTTGCATGGCAGAGTAGATTAAAGACATCAGCTTTTCTCTAAAGAATTGGTGTGCTTCAAAACAATGCATCAAGTTTATGTGTATTTTGCAAAGATGAGATTGAAACTGTGAACCATGTCATGGTGTCCTTCCTATTTGCGTCATCTGTGTGGTCTAAAATGCTGAATTGGTGGGATGTTCA